TCACAACAAAACACATACTATGGTGTCTAACTCACAATACACAATGCCATTAGCCCCAGAGACACCTTGACCACCTCAAATAGACCACACACCACATAATTTAGCAACCATGCTCAAAATGACTACCAAACTCCCATTGGACAATAACATAATGGGGTGGATAAATTCAACACATCAATCAATTAGTCATTTTGACATTAAAAACACTTGACATATATATATATATATATATATATCAGTTGTAAATATAACTTGGCCAAGCACACGCTTAATCCAATATATCAAACTTGGACCAAGATATACACACTCATCACAGGATTCACACAAGTAATATTCAAATAATGTCATGTTCCTAAGTTGGTAATATTTAGTGATAATATTCGTTATAATATACAAAAAGAGAAAAGGGAAGAGCTATACAATGATGCTCTTTACTCTTCAAATGCCCCTTCCTTTCCCTTATCCCAACCAGAGCCTTCACCTGTAAAATATAATTACAGGGTGAGATAAACATCTCAGTAACCAATATAGCTCATCAAATGTTTATTACCACAAATAACTATGAAAAAGTATCAAAACTATAGTATTATCAAGCATACCAAAAATTATGAGATATATGTATCTCTTCTCAACAAAACACATAGTTTTACACTAGCATGATCATCTAACCACCGAACCTCCAATGCTCCCCGATATGAAACCATAGGCTCTCCTGGTTCAACCACTTATTGACCCGAACACACTTTCGATGGTAGAAATACCTAGCCAAAGGTAATCTAACCCGCCTACGAACTATGGTTTTTCCCTCTTCACACGCTTGTGATAGAGGCATCGTTGACTCCTAACTGCACCCTAACAAGTACGAGGGAGTTGCTAGACTACTCAGATGTCCTATAGTAACAGTCCTATATAATGCTGCACCGGATGTCCCATGGTGTCAGTCCGACCATATGGATTTTTCACTCACATATCTCCACACACATATATTCCCACATATCTCGTATGAACTTCCACCCCTTATGATCAGGCTCTTTCACAATTTCCACTACTTTCATCACATTTTACATCATAAACTTATATACATAGTATATACATTCAATTATAAACATTAACCATTTACAAAACACTTTTTCATGCTAAAAATTATTTACAATGTCAAATTATGCACAAAATGCTTCAAAACTACAACTTTATCATTTAAAATTACTTCTACATAGTTACAATAATTAATAAACACAATAAACTATATGGTTACCTCAACCTTTGTTATACAAAAAGGGTTACCATGGCTCAACGTTAGCTCCACATGTTCTATATTGACGGTAAGGCTTGAGCAATGCTCAATCTACACCAATAAGTGACAATCGTCAATTATCACTTTAGATAACTCCGAATTCACTAGGTTATAAGTGCTTAAAATACTCAAATTCCTTTTCTAACAATACCAACTATTCCCATACACTTTAACCATCCTATTAAACATTCCAACACACTAACTTCCCTAGTCAATGTCCCACATTGTCTCAAAATCTTTAAATTATACTTAGGGTTCGTCCAAACTCTTACCAACAATTCTCAATCACTATAAAACTCATAAACTTAAGGTTAGAAGTTTGATTTAACTCCCCAAGATCTTAAATAAACCAATGGGTTTGGTCTAAACCCCAGGGAACCAAAATCCAAGCCTTCACTACCTCAAATGTTCAGATTTTCACATAAAAGAGGGAAAAGAGGGAATGTACAACTTACCCAATAGTGAATCAAGCTCCAAATGCCCTCAAAGTAGCCCAGGGATCATGCCCTAGCAGACTAAAAGCTTTTCTCCGTCACTCTCTTAGTATCTCTCTTTTTCTCTTCTGTTTTTTATTTGTTTTTTGCGTCTGATAAGTGCAGATTTTGCATGTGTATCGCGGCGCGTCGTCACATTTGCCATGACGTATAGCACAAAAAGCCCCACAAAATTTTAAACTCCCTCCATGCCATGGCCCACTTGAACCTTGACCTAGCCCTCTTCTAAAGTTGTCCACGGATCCAAAAATCATATTAGTTTCTATAAACCTCGCTAAATAAAATTTATCTAAATTGACCAAATTACCCTTGAAAACACTGATAATTACTAATGAGGAAACTTAGGATGTTACACTATGCACCACAGTGCATGCAACTTGTGCTGCGGTGTGTGGCACAATGAGGAGAATCCTTATCACGCGCACATGCTTTAACTCGAAACACAATCCTTCCACCTGTATCTGGCTATTCAACATCCTAAGGAGTGAAAATATCAAGCAATCATCTAAACTTCCAATCATTTACTAATTATCACTTTACCCCTAATTAACAGTTAATCACATGATTAGAAAAATTAGGATGTTACATTATTCAAGGTTAAATTTTACCTAGGCAGGAATAAAAAAGATGCACAATCAGTGTTAAACTAAATAGCATAAAGGGATAAAGAATGGCTAGAGATAAAAACCTAAAGAGCTACAATGAACATATGGAAAGCTTATGTGTTCTAATGTATGAGGATAGATACCACCAAAGAAATTAACCACATCTTGAATTTGACACTAAATAAAGCAGTTACAAAGTAACAGCATAAAACCACATTTTACAAGTCATTGCTCAAGATGTTAAGTCGTATCATTCAGATAATCAGTGGGGTAATCCTGCAACGAAGCATTGGCATTTTCGGTACCTATGCTATTATAGAAAAGTGATTCCTCTTTGGTATTTATTTTGTTTTTGTTGGGAATTCCATAGTCTTGGGAAGAACTGTATGGGATATTTGTTGCTTAATAGGCCATGTTTCATGGACATTCAATGGCCAAAATCTCAATAATTTGTCATGGGTTAATGGGCTAAAGTCAAACGATTTTGTTTCCTCATTCACTTCATATTTCATGAGTCTAATCTATATTTATCTTGTTTGTTTCCTTTTCTGGAGAAGTGATCAGTTGAACTTCTATGTTAGACAACCCTTCATATAAGACTACTATTGTCTAGAATGAGATAAGAAATTTCTGACGCAAATTTTTTTTGAAATTTTTCCAATTTTCCTATACACCTAATATCTTGTATTTACAAACAATAAAAAAGGACAAGGATGTGACTCCAGCATATTTGCACAACTATAAAAGGAAATATACATGTTATAGTTTCTCACATAAGTAGCTATAGACAGGGCCGTGTGAAGATGTTTTGACGCCTAAGGCAAAATTATTAATAAAACCTAGTATGTGTAATTGTCCCTTCAAAAAAAAATGCTCTCATCATTTTTTACAAAATAATATATTAAATTTTATAATATAGTGATCTTAGTGAAATACTAAATTAATTCAATAGTGAAAATTAATGTTAACAAAGTACTCCTACCCCATCTTATATATTGGGATAGAATATTAACAAGGATATGGGATGACAATACATTTTTAACAAAAAAGATATAATTAAGACTAATATATCAATGACTAATGTAAAAAACTAATAATAATTATACACCTTATAAAAATATTTTTAATAAGGTTTAAAGGTATCACGTTGATGGTTTAAGACTACACAAAGTTTTGATGCTAATATTTTTCAATGTTTTAGGCTTTAAAATAAGAAAGGGAGAAAATGAAAAGTAAGATTGTGAGAAGAATTTAACGTAAGCTAATTTAGTATGAATTATTATCTTATGGATCTCACTATTCTTTTTTATATAGATAATGAACTTAGTTCAATAATTAATGTTATAATGGAAACAATTAGAACTTTTCAACAGGAAAACAATCAATACTTTTTATTCTCTTTCATCTTCAATTAAATATATGATATTACAAATATCAATTAGACATACATATATATAATAGGGGTATTAATAATTTTTTTTGGAGGCCTAAGGCAACGGCTTCACTTGCCTTGTGGCTTCCAGGGCCTTTGTCGAACAAATCGGCTGAGAAGGGATACAAGGAACAGAAAACGGGCAAGACATAAATAGGGCAGAATAGGATAGTCGGAACGCATGGTGAGTGAGGAGTTATAAAATGATGAGGAGTTATAGCATGTTTATGCTCAAATGACAAAAGGCGGAGGTGAGAATGAAGGAGGGAAATGGGTGAAGGCGCAAATCCGAAACTTCACAACTGGCAAGAGGGAACCCAACTTAGGGCCCAAGAAAGCCATTTTAAAAAAAGATAAATTAGGACTAATAATATCAATGACTAATGTAAAAAACTAATAATAATTATACACATTATAAAAAATATTTTAATAAGGTTTAAAGGTATCACGTTGATGGTTTAAGACTACACAAAGTTTTGATGCTAATATTTTTCAATGTTAGGCTTTTAATTAAAATAAGAAAGGGGAGGAAAATGAAAAGTAAGATTGTGAGAAGAATTTAACGTAAGCTAATTTAGTATGAATTATTATCTTATGGATCTCACTATTCTTTTTATATAGATAATGAACTTAGTTCAATAATTAATGTTATAATGGAAACAATTAGAACTTTTCAACAGGAAAACAATCAATACTTTTTATTCTCTTTCATCTTCAATTAAATATATGATATTACAAATATCAATTAGACATACATATATATAATAGGGGTATTAATAATTTTTTTGGAGGCCTAAGGCAACGGCTTCACTTGCCTTGTGGCTTCCAGGGCCTTGTCGAACAAATCGGCTGGAAGGGATACAAGGAACAGAAAACGGGCAAGACATAAATAGGCAGAATGGATAGTCGGAAAGCATGGTGAGGAGTTATAAAATGATGAGGAGTTATAGAATGTTATGCTCAAATGACAAAAGGCGGAGGTGAGAATGAAGGAGGAAATGGGTGAAGGGCGAAAATCCGAACTTCAAACTGGCAAGAGGGAACCCAACTTAGGGCCCAAGAAAGCACTGCCAGACGCCCGTTGATGTTTTTTCTTGTCATCAGATAGAAGCCAGATTCTAGCCACAGGGGCACTTTTGTTCGATAAATTTTCACATGCTGTATTTGCATTTCATCATTCTTCCTGACCTTCCCTCGCGGGGTCAGTTACCCAGCCTCTGCTGCAGAAGTCTCATGGGCTTTTGTCAGGTGTGGCCGAGTCGAACGAGTCAGAGAGGTGGGTTTTTGAGTCCATCCGGTTATTTGGGTCGAGGGAGGGAAGGGGAAAATATCGAAGCTTGCTCGTGTTCAGTTGAAAGGGACTTGATGCAATGATGGTGACGGAGAGCTTCGTTGAGAATGTGGATCAGATGGTGGAAATAATGGATATAATGTCAAATGGGGGTTTTTTGAGAGGTGAAAATAATGAATTAGGAGCTGATTGGGTGGAACTAGAGTGGTTAAAATCAAAAGGATACTATAGCATTCAGGCTTTTGTGGTGAATAGGCTTGAGGTTTCCTTGAGGCTGGCTTGGTTGAGCTGCAACAACAATGGAAGAAAGAGAGGGGTGAAATTAAAAGAAAGGCTAATTGGGGCAGGTGTTTCAACTAATGTGTATTGGAGGATAAAGGGTTGCATGGACTGGTGGGGGAATCTGGACGCTGCAACTAGAAAGAAGGTCCTGACGACTATCACGGGGCAAAGCGGCCAAAAATTTGGTATTGATTGGGATTCTCTTTAATTATCGTTTAGATGATATCAGTACAAATTGGATTATAAATGCTTAGTACTTAAATAGCTAACAATTCCAATTGAAAAGGTACTCAGATTATGGTAAATTAGTTAGAAGGATGGGTTCGACGACATCATTTGATTATCACTTTGTGGGTTAAACTTTATAGGTATGGACAATATCACTTGTTAAATTTAGCCCTCTGGAATTTTTCACTCCTGCTCATTTTTCATAGAGTTTTCTTTTGGGAGATCAATTTTGGTGTATCAGGAAAAATGTATAAGAAATAGTTGAATCTGAGTCAATTCATTCTGAAACAATTATTAATATTTGATAAAAGAGTGAAAATGTATGGAAGCCCTTTATCTAATTTCCTAATGTGACAGGAAACAAAAATTTTATAAAGTAGATGTAGGTGCTTTGACATCAACTAATTGAGGATTCAAATTAAATGCACATTGAACAAAGCTTGGTTTCATTGGTCCCTATTTCATCTTTGTGGGTGCCTTGTGTTATAAGCTGGATTCAAAATATCATGGACAGAGACAGCTATGCTTATGATGTGTGTAAGCATTGGAGTCCCCTAGCAATGGAGACTTTAGTTAGATGAAGGCATTCCTTGTTCACAATGACTTTATAACTCCCGGGACTTTCCTTTGTAAGTTTGTAGATTGGCCTTATCTAATCCTCATGCTGACTTTGACTTACAAGTTTTCAGATTTACGAGGTTTTCAAAGTGGTAAATGATGCTTTGGAGGATGACATATGGCTATACCATACTGGTGTAGAACAATCACTGCCATACAACAATTCGACGTCGCCTGAAAGGATGATTCGAATATTTCCTGATGATGTAGAATTTGGAACAATTATCAGGCCACCCACATTTTCTAGAAGACCTGCTTCTTTAGCCAGAGCCTTTAATTCATTATTAGTGCTTCAGGATCTTAATAAATTGATGTCATTGTGTTGTAATTGTAATTATGATATGGGAATGCTATTATTTAGTCCATTGGGTTCTGTCTGTACCATATCTGATTGTATAATGAGAAAGTTGCGAGGGTTTCTGATGGTCATTTCAATTGACTCCACTAGACTTGAACTTTTAGGAGAGGAACCTGACAAGTCTTCATCAAGTAAACCTAAAGAAAAGCTCAGTAATTGTAAACAAAAGAAGAAAGGGCGGGCACGCAATGTTAAAAGGCTAAATCCTGTGCCAAAATCGTTTGCGGATGACATTTCACATAAAATTCCTCCCAAGGTACTTATTCCCATTTACAAAGGCGGCTGTAGCCCTGTTATTACAGACATGCTTCCTGTTTAAATTGTAACTTGTTCCCTAAATATTATTCTAGGATGGCGTTTATGTAGAGGAGAATCAACAGAAGATTGATTCAACAGTATCCGTGCAACGTCCTGAGGTATCTCAGGGGAAGGATGTCGTTAGGGTAAGCTCATCCTCAACTGCTGAAATGGTTCTCATTTAATTTTTCTTCTTCTTAAGTTTGAATCATATTTCTAGTCAATGATTGGAATGTTTTATGATGTGTCATCAGGACCATAACCAGCAATGGAATGTTGGGAAACGTCGAACTACTTCAAGAAGAAGAAAAGGGAAAAGTAAAAGTGGAAAATCCCTTGTTGACTTTCAAGTTGGAGATTCTCAAAATTCAATCACAGGTACTGCCTCTTCGCCTGTTATTTCTGAAGTTGAGGTGGCAATTCCTGGTAGCTTTCGTGATACTTCAACTGTTAAGAAGGTGAAAAAAGAATGTGCATCTGGTACTGTCATTTGTGCTGCGGATTCCAGCTTTGTTAATTCTTATGACGGACCTAATAGGGAGAACAATTCTATCCGAGAAATTCAAGGAGATTATGTTGAAGATTGTTCTGAACATTGCAATAGCATAGGTGCTCAGCCTTGTCAATTGTCAAATGAAATGAAAATTTCACCTTGCACATTAGATAATTCAACTTTTGATGGAGATTCTAATGTTAAAACTTCATCTGTACCTGCCCTAAAGCTCGGTGGACTCTTTTGCAATGAAGACACCAGCCTTCTGAACTCCTCATATATTGCTGAATCAGATATTAAGTCATGTTTTCTAAACAAACCAGTTAGAGAGGCTCATTTGAAAGAACATCTCTTTTTGAAGGAGCAAAACAGAGGATGCCTATTTGAAAGTAGGAGATCAGTTTTTCCAAAATATCGTCCATATGAGTGGCCTGGTGTGCCTTCTATATATTTTCCATCAATTAACTCACACCTCCCTCCTGCCACTGATAGATTGCATCTGGATGTTGGACGCAACTGGCATAATCACTTCTGCCACTCCTTTGTTCCCACATTTCAGCAGGCAAGAAATACTCCCATTGATGGTGGATGTAACCCAATCCTCTCTCATCCTGTTCCTATGAGTTTAGATTGGCCTCCAGTTTTTCGAAGTGGCATGGCTCCTTCACCAACTTGTAATTATGACTCTGGATTCATGACTGGGTGGCGCTCTACACTTTCAACTAGTTTGTCATCTCATGGTGTTCAGGTTAATGCGACATCTCCTGACGATGAAGGAAAATATCATGGAGATTTGATCGATTTACCTGATTTGATGAATGCACGAGAGCTAGCAGATGAATATGACAATCACTGCGTATCAGAGGAAGAGTACGAGGTTCATGCAGTTCCTGGTATGGACTATAATCAATACTTTGGTGGAGGTATAATGTACTGGGATCCTTCTGATCATCCAGGAACAGGTTTCTCTCGAGCTCCCTCTCTCAGCTCAGATGATAGTGTTTGGGCTTGGCGTGAGGCTGATGCCAATAGGGCTGTGGATGACATGATTGCTTTCTCATCTTCATATAGTACAAATGGTTTAACTTCGCCTACTGCTGCTTCATTGTGTTCTCCATTTGATCCTTTGGGAAATACACCCCAGACAGTTGGATATGTGATGTCAGGCAATGAAGTACCTGGAAAGGTGTTGCATCCTTCACCAGCGACAGATGCAGCAATGCAGGAAGATACTTCTGGGTCTCTTGGTGCTGGTTTACCCTGTGAAATTGAAGGGAAGACAGGTGATTCGCATCCATACCCTATACTAAGGCCAATCATTATTCCTAATTTGTCAAGGGAAAGATCAAGATCTGACTTTATGCGAAGTCTAGATCATAAAAGCCCATGTGTTCCACGTACAAGGCAGGATCAATGCTGCATTAAACGGCCACCATCACCTGTAGTGCTCTCTGTTCCACGGGCTCCACGTCCACCTCCACCTTCTCCTGTGAGTGATTCAAGGAAACAAAGGGGTTTTCCAGCAGTTAGATCTGGCAGTTCCAGCCCAAGGCACTGGGGTGTGAGGGGTTGGTATCATGATGGAAGTAATTTTGAGGAAGCTTGTTTAAGATTGGATGGTGCTGAAGTTGTGCGACCTTCTTGGAGAAGTAATAATCTTGCAGTACGACCCAAGATCCAGCCTTTACCTGCTGCCTTGCTGCAAGATCGCTTGATTGCAATGACACAGGTAGCATTTGATCAGGAACATGTAAAGTTTTCTATAAGCTTGTGTTTTGTAGATATCTACTAGTGCTCATAGTTTTATTTAATCATACAGCCAGACGTTGCCTTTCCCCTGCAACCACTTGATTCTCAGAGCTGTCCTTCAAGAAGTGCATCTTTGGCATTAATGCACCGTTTGCTTCATGATGAGATTGACTCTTTCTGTAAACAGGTATTTGCCTGACCCTTTTCTGTCTTGCATTTCAGTCCTATGACTGAATGGTAGTTACAATAATTTAGAAACTTAACGGCCAATGAATCAGACAAGGAAAGGAAGGATACTATGTTATTGTTTCAATTGGGGTCCAACTGCAAAATTTTAGTGTTACCAAGTTTTATACTGAATGAGTAAACTTGGGTATATTGAATCTTAGCTGAAATGCTTCATATTAGTATTTGATTTTTGTGACTTGTCATCAATACTAATTAGTCTTGTTCATTTTATTGACTATTTACAAGTTTGCTCATTAAAGCAATGACGCTATTATAGGTTTGAAATCATTTTGTCTCCAGTTCAGTGATTTATTAATTATTAATGAACAATACATATGACAAACAATGAAAAGCGTTTACTGGGGAGCAAGTAACTTTATGTGCACCCAAGACACCAAGTTTTAGTCATTTGGTTGATTTTTTATTTTTTTTTACTTTTCAAGAGTCAATGACATGGATGCCTTTCATACTGCCACCTTTAATTATGGTAAATTACAGTTGACTTCTAGGTCCAAAATCAGTTGTTTCTTGAAGCGTGTCATTCAGCACCGTTTTGGTTTGTTCAGTTACCTCTGAGTTACCTTATAGTAGTTTACATTCAGATTTTGATGAAAATGGTACCTCGAATGTAAAATCAATGAGCAATTATTATTATTATTATTATTATTATTTGCAGTTAAATGTTCCTTTCACTTATATCTTGAATATATCTACTGTGTTTTGAGGTTGCTGCTTTAATTGGATAATTTCATCTATTCAATATTTTATATTAAATCCTGGAAAGAGCCTTGGAAGTCATTGAAGCTGTCCAAGGTACAAGTGAGACATCTATTTTAAGAACATTCACACTTTCTTTTTTTAATTTCCATTAATAAAACTAAAGGTGCTGGCTCAACCTGGAAGCTGGAATTGTCCTGTTTTTCAATCACAGGCTGATTTGGGCTGGGCTGGTTTACTTGGGTTGGGCAAGTTATGCTCAACGAGCAATTATTTGAATGTTAAACCCGACAGCAATTATTTTTATTATTTTTTGGGTTTAGATGTCTGTTTCACTCATTTATAGAATATATCTACTGTGTTTTGAGGTTAGTGCTTTAAATGGATAATTTCACCTATTAAATATATTTGATTCAATCCTGGTAATAGCCATGAAAGTCTTTGAAGTTGTTGAGCCATGAAATTCTTTGAAGTTGTCCAAGGTACAAGTGAGACATCTTCCCCCCCCCCCCTTTAAACAACATTCACACTTTTTTTTAATTAAATTTCCGTTAATAAAAGTAAAGGGGCTGGTCTGGGTTAGCTGAGCCCCCTGGCTCAACCTGGAAGCTGGACTGGCACTGTTTCTTTTTCTTTTCTTTTTTTTTTTTCACAGGTCAATTTGGGCTGTTTACTTGGGTTTGGTGAGTTGTGCTCACCCCTGAACATGAAGTATAGGGTTCATACTAATTTCAAGACAAATGACATAGGGCGTGAAATGTAATTTAATTTAAAAATAGAAGGCCTTTGGGCCATACTGTTTGCAGATTGAATTGAGTCAGTTTGAGATGAGCTTTCACCCATTCCCCAGTCTTCAAACTTTCAAGAAAAATGTTCAAAAGAAATGGACAAAAGGATGGTCATGCGTGTGGATTAGATTGGGTTCATACTGTTTAAATGCAGAATCTGACCTGTAAATGGTGGGTTGAAGGAATTTTAAGCTAATTCAATGAACATCCCTTGATTGAACAGTGTTGGGTGAACTAGTTTTCTCAAAACTGTCTGGCGTACACTATCTTTCATCAATTAGGCATTACTGGTTTAAGAATGGAAATAGGATTGATGCTTGGCACGTTCCCATTTCATTTAGTTGATCCAGCAAGTTTGGCATTTTGGTACTTTATTTCTAATCTACAGTAGAAAGCTTTGTCTTCGTTTATCCCCACAGGATAAATGATTCTACTGATTTTATGATGTGCCCTGGGTATATTCAAAAGAATCCGGGCAGTGAAGCAAGTGAAATATATTCTGAGGGAGGATGTGTGACTGAACTGGACAGCAATTTTGAGAGATGTGTTTTCTTTTGGCAAGAATTTCTTGAAGAACGCTGAGGAGGGTTCAATAAAAAGAGGTTTTAGGTGAAGAATGGGGCATGGAATTTTATAGATATCTAGCATCTTGTATGGCTTTAGATTTTCCATATATCTTGTGTATTTGTTTTTGTTTCAACATGTTACTTGACATTTATTCTTTAAATGTATGATGCAATCCTAGGTTGCTGCGGAGAATATGTCTAGGAAACGGTACATCAATTGGGCTGTCAAGAGAGTTACTCGATCTCTACAAGTTCTATGGCCCAGGTCCAGGACACACATATTTGGTTCTAATGCAACTGGTATGGCCCTTCCAATAAGTGATGTCGACCTTGTGGTTTGTCTCCCTCCTGTGAGAAACCTGGTAATTTTCCCTCTTTTCTTCTGTTGTATTGTCCGTTCTTTTATTTGGTGAAGTGACTCCCTTTTCTTTTAAATAAAATGATTTAGGAGCCGATAAAAGAAGCTGGAATACTTGAGGGCCGAAATGGCATCAAAGAAACTTGTCTCCAGGTATATTGGCAGTAAACTATGGCATGTTATTCTGACACCTTATGGCCCTGTTTGGTAGATGGCATTGAATGGTTCGGATTGGGGTTGGATTAACCCACTTTTACCATGTTTGGTACAATAGATAGGTTTGCTACTTGGGATGGTTGAAACCCATGTAGGTGGGATTGAGCAAGCCCATGGGAGAGGTGGTATTGAAAATTTAATCCTGGGTTTGAACTTTTCAGACCAAGATGCCTTCCCATGTCACAAGCCTCCACCTTGGAAATGTCACCTCCATCTCCTCTGTCTCCAGTCACCTTCTCCTCCCTCTTTTGTTGCCTTCTCCATCATGCTTTCTGCTCCATGCTCATCGCTTTATGCCTCTTTCTCCTCCATCCTTTCTGCACATCATTGTCTCACCGTCATCATCTTTATGTCAAGTGTTCATCAGCATGTTGTCTACAGTGCGTCAAGGAGGAGAAAGATGATTAGGGAGCGAGGAGAAGGTGATTGTAGAGATGGAGAAGGACAAGCAGAACATGACGCTCTAATCTTTGTCTCCATCTCCAGCACAGATCTGAAAAATGTTGTCCCCCCCACCCCAACACAACAAAAGGATTAATATGCTTTCACAACTTGACGTATATAGAGGTAACCAGAAGTCCTAATTCTGGGAAATCAATATGTAACATACAGTTTCATTGACACAGATCATTGAGCATCAGAAGAGGTTCTTTTTGCAGAGGGAGTGGAACACGGTTAAATGCTTTTTCAGGGCAAGGCTGTCATAATCTTTTGTAATTATAATTTTATATATTAAATACAAATTATTTAACCATTCCCATGCTATATACCAAACATGATTTTTAATACTTATTTCCATTTAATACCACTCCCAATCCCAATACCAATCCCTTAAAATCCATCTTTTGTGCCAAACAGGGCCTATGTGCCCATGCCTATCTGTATAATGTCTCTGTTAAGATTGAGTATCATTAAGTTTTTGTCATGATTGCAATGAAAGATTATAGGGGCAGTGTTTGTCGTTTCATTGCTTGATTTCACTCCCACAAAGTTTAAAACGCTGGTTTCAAAACTCAGCAAGAAATGGAAACAACATAAAGCTGGGGAAGACAGAAAAATTGAGGGGGCCTGTACATAGTCTTGGGAATTTCATGTAAAACTATTTAGTTGTGTATGTGAGAGATATTAATAGAACATATTATGGGTTTATTCCCCCAAAACTTGAGCTTTTAGGATGAAATAGTCCTTAACTTAGTGTCAAAGTCATTCTGCCCAATGAAGATTTTGTATGAAGATACTGGGTGTCAGACTCATGTAATCTTGTTTACCTGTAATTTCCTCCTTACCACAAAAAAATGTCACTCTGATCAATTAGTGAGGAGTTTGATCCTTTCTGCTCTGACTCTCATAATTAAACTATATTTACACATTAGGTATGGTGGGTCTTTGTTTCTTCCATGTTTGGAGTCCAAGGGCTATTGCTCTTTGCTCAGTGGCATGCTTCAACATAGCATTTTAAGTCTTTGGGAAGAACAGTTCTTGAAGGTGTATATATCTGCAATACTTAACAAAAAGTCGTCTTTAAAGAAAAAAGGGTCTATGGAATGGATGGTGTGAACCTAAATTCTATCACAAGATATGTCCTGAGGATGGCTATCCTAAATAATTTGAGACTTGAGAATACTTGGTTTTCTGGGTAATTGATTGCACACATTGTATGCATTTTCCATACCCTAGCTATTCATTTCTCTGAGTCTGCTTGATGGTTGCTTTTGGACAAACATTTGATTAGCTATCGGAGTTTATTGTTTTGATGTACTTTGAAAGTGTTCCTATTTTCCCTTTTACTTATGGTATGATTATAAGGATATCCTAAGCTAATTTTCTGTACTTTATCATTTTTCTCCTGTTAATGCAGTTATTTTGATTTTGTTTTAGCGTGTCACAAAATTGACCCTCAACTTTGTTGCTTTGCCAGCATGCAGCTAGGTACCTTGCCAATCAGGATTGGGTAAAAAATGATTCTCTGAAGACAGTGGAGAATACAGCTGTAACACTCTCAATTCTTTTTTTTTTTTTTAAATTAGAATTGTTTATATAATTTGACTGGTAAATGATAGAGCATAATAGCATCATACAATCCATGTATTATTGTTGTTTATATAATCTGCCCTTATCTTTAATATGTTCTCCTTCTGTTCCCTTTTGTTTTAGATACCTATTATTATGCTTGTGGTGGAAGTTCCTTTTGATGCTATCACCTCTTCTGCTCCTATTTTAAAATCTCCAAAAGGGAAGTCAGCTTGCACAACTGGTGAAAATGGCAATGGTATTCATTCTGATATGATTCATTCAGAAGATTCAGCTGTGCAAAAATGCTCCCCAATAAATAGTGGCACCCCAAAGGATTCAAATTCAGTGCGTCTTGATATCAGCTTCAAGACCCCATCACATACGGGACTCCAAACTTCAGAAATGGTAATTCCTTTTGATTATGGCACTTTGACTGTCTCTGTGATTGGCCAAAATGGAAAAGTTGATAAACTGATTGCCTTCAATTTTGGATATGAATATTCCCATCTTATGCTATCATCGATCTTGTAGTCAAGGAAAATATATTATTTAACAAAGACAGAGACTAATAAAACTGAGGTAGCCCTACACCCTAAACCCTAAACCCTTAATGTATATTCCCCGCCCCCTCGTAATTCTTAAATGTGAAAGTAAGGACGGTAGAATTTTTACTTTGTTGAAGAGCAAAATTAGATTTGGTACTTGGAATGTTGGGACATTAAATTGTAAATCTTTAGAGGTTGTAGGGGTTATGATTCAAAGGAAAATCAATATCCTTTGCCTGCAAGAAACAAAATGGCGTGGAGAAGAAGTTAAGGATATTCAAGGTTTCAAACTTTGGTGTACAGGAAAAGTAAGTGCACGCAATGGAGTAGGCATCATTATAGATAAAGAGTAAAGAAGAACGTTGTAGAAGTTAGCAGAATCGGAGACAGAATTATTTCCTTAAAAATGATAATTGGACGTGAGACTGTTAATATTATTAGCGCTTATGTGCCGCAAGTCGGGACAGAAGCCAGTCTTAAGGAATTATTTTGGGAGGATCTAGAGGGGTTGATTCGACATATACCACAGAGTGAAAAGATTTTTATTGGAGGAGACTTTAATGGGCATGTTGGGAGGGAAGCTGGTCAGTATGCGAAGGTGCATGGTGGTTTTGGTTTTGGAGAGCTAAACAATGAAGGACAAACTCTTCTTGATTTTTCATTGGCGTATGATTTTAAGATTGCCAACACTTGTTTCAAGAAGAGAGATGAGCATTTCATCACTTACAAAAGTGGAGCCTCAAGGTCACAGATTGATTTTCTTTTGGTTAGGAACACAGATAGAAGACTTTGTAAAAATTGTAAGGTGATCCCCGGAGATGCTGTTACGACACAACATAGGGTCCTAGTCCTTGATGTGTGTATTATGAGTAAAATTCAAAAACGTCGACAAGTAGTAACACCAAGGATTAGGTGGTGGCAATTAAAAGGTGAGAAGCAAGATATTTTCAAGCGAAATCTTTTGGATAAAGGAATTTGGGAATCTCAGGGAAGTGCTAACATCATATGGGAGGATATGGCTAAAAAGATACGGGAGGTTGCAAAAGTAGTTTTGGGAGAATCGAAAGGTTCTGGTCCGAGAGATAAGGAGTCTTGGTGGTGGAATAATAATGTACAGGACAAAATCAAGTATAAGAAGAACTGTTTTAAAGCCATACATTTGTGTAACAATGAGGAAAATTGGGAGAGGTACCGTATGGCTAAGAAGGAAACTAAGAGAGCTGTGGGTGAAGCTCGTTCTAAAGCTTTTGAAGAATTTTATAAGAACCTTGAGACGAAGGAAGGAGAGCAAAATATTTATAAGATTGCCAAGAGTAAGGAAAGAAAATCAAGAGATCTAGAATAGGTAAGGTGTATTAAGGATGAAGAGGGAAGAATTTTAGTTACAGATGATGAAATTAAAAATAGATGGGAGACTTACTTTTCTAAACTTTTCAATGATGGAGAGGATTCATCTAGTAACTTGGAGGATTTAGTAACTGGTGAAGGAGAACAAAATTTGTCATTCTATCGAATAATACGTGATAAGGAGGTAAAGGAAGCTCTTAAGAAAATGGCAAATGGTAGAGCCAACGGACCTGATTGTATATCTATCGAAGCGTGGAAATGTTTAGGTGAAGAAGGGGTGAGATGGTTAACTAAGTTATTTAATGTGATTTTACGGTCCAAGAAAATGCCTGATGAGTGGAGGAGAAGTACATTAATTCCTATTTATAAAAATAAAGGAGATATTCAGAATTGTACTAACTATAGAGGGATTAAACTCATGAGCCACACAATGAAATTGTAGGAGAAAGTAATTGAGCACAGGTTGAGATTGGAGACAAGTATTTCTGAGAATCAATTTGGTTTTATGCCAGGTAGATCAATTACAGAGGCGATTTATCTACTAAGGGGATTAATGGAAAAGTATCGTTGTAAAGATAAAGATCTACACATGGTTTTTATTGATTTGGAAAAAGCTTATGATCGTATACCAAGAGAAGTACTTTGGAAAGCGTTGGAAAAAAAGGGAGTACGGATTGCTTATATTAAAGCCATACAAGATATGTATGAGGGGGTAAAAACTAGTATAAGAACACCTAGTGGTCAAACAAAGGATTTTCCTATAAAGATTGGATTACATCAGGGATCATCTCTGAGTCCTTATTTGTTCAACTTGATTTTAAATGTTTTGACGGAACATATTCAAGAAGAAATCCCGAAATGTATGCTTTTCGCGGATGATATAGTTCTTATAGCAGAGACAAGAGAAGAGGTTAATTGTAAACTTGAATTATGGAGGAGGACATTGGAGTCGAAAGGTTTTCGTCTGAGTAGAAGTAAGACGGAATATTTATATTGTAAATTTGATAAAGGAATATTCGACAATAATTTGGAAGTGAAATTGGGAGATCAAATTATACCTCAAGTGGAAAAGTTTAGATATTTGGGAGCCATTATTCAAAATGATGGCGAAATCAGTGGAGATATTTCACATAGAATTCAAGCTGGGTGGTTTAATTGGAGAAAAGCTAAAGGAGTTATTTGTGACCGTAAGGTGCCTAATAAACTTAAAGGAAAGTTTTATCGCACTGCTATCAGACCGGCAATGTTATATAGTAGTGAATGTTGGGCTCTAACGGGACAGCAAGAGCATAAAGTTGGAGTAGCAGAGATGAGAATGTTACGATGGATGTGCGGACATACACGTAAAGATAAAATTCGAAATGAGCACGTACGCGAAAAAGTGAGGGTGGCACCTATTGAGGAAAAAATGGTAGAAAATCGGTTGAGATGGTTTGGGGATGTACAAAGAAGACCAAGGGAGGCACCAGTGAGAAGAGTGGAACATATAACTTTGAGTCCGATTAAGAGAGGTAGAGGAAGGCCTAAGAGAACACTCTTGGAAGTTGTTGAACGCGATCTCTTAATTAATAATATTCCTAAAAGTTTGATAAATGATAGAGCACAATGGTGTCTTGCAATCCATGTAGCCGACCCCACCTAGTGGGATAAAGGCTTGTTGTTGTTGTTGAAGTCGCAATATATTGATATGTTACATATCAGGGATTTAAGGGCATGTGAGCAATATCCTTGAGTTAGTTAGAGGAGAGGGAATAAATCATCGAGCTTGGCATGTGTCAGGGATCCATTCAGAACATATCACCTGTAACGTCCTCATTTGGGTTTTTGGCAAATGAATTATCCCCGTTTCTATTCTTCTTCTTCTTCCTTTTTGGTTTTGTTTTGTTTTGTTTTGTTTTTTGTTACATTTTCTTTTCTGTTTATATCAGCATGCCTCTCATTTAATTCATTGTTTGGCTAATTAATAGTAAAATAGCTCAAGGGGGCTAATTGATAGCTGGATAAAGTACACAGTGGAGTGAACTTATAGTATGCGCATGACAAGTGACTTTGTTGTCAACAAATTGATGAAACAGTAACGTGAGGGGTCAAAGTGATATCATACTATACCCTCGGGGGTACTGCAGGTAAATGAAACAGAAAGTTAGAATTAGAAGGATATAATTGGAACCATAAGGTAACAAAGTGAAAATGGGGTAAACCACGGGGTGGTTATCCTTCTGCCTGAAGAAACAATATTTGCGTGCTAGTAAAATTGAAAATTGTTTTTTGGGTCAATATAAGAATTTAGTAGCTTTTGTGTGCGTGCGCATGTGTAAAGCTTTCAATTCCTTTTTGGGTCTCTTTATTCTGGGCTCTTTGTCAAGGAGTTATTTAAAATTTTATTCGTTACAGCTGGTTCTTTAAATATTTACCTTTTGCAATGGCTCGAGTTGTATCCAGTCCTTTTGTTTTACTATAAAGTTAGGGGGTCGTATGTATATCTTCAGATTGCTTCATAATTATTTTTATATCTAGGAATATGGTGGAGTTTCAGAGTTCAGAGTATTACAAATGAAGATGCATAGGGAAATTAGGGATGGAATGTATTTCAGCACTATTAGGATGTATCCCCAACCCTAGCTTCTACAAAAAAAAAGGAGGGGGACAAAAATTTCACGTTTTTTTAAAAACATTCCCTCCTTTTTCCCCTTTTTTTGGGGGGGGGGTGGGTGGTGGTAGTTCTGCTTTTGTTATCACTGAGTTGTTGTTCAGGTCTAAATATGGTGGTTTCCGGGACAGATTCTGTTGAGAAAATTGATTGTGAAAGGAAGAGAAAAGAGAGAGATGGAGAAAGTAGAAACAGAGTGGTAGGGAGAAAAAGAAATAAGAAATAAATCTGAAATAATTCTATAAAAGTACCTTTCATAACAGATCTGCCCACAATCCTATTTATGGGTATAAAGCTGAATAAATGAATAAATACCCTAATCTTACCCAAATTTTATATTAATCTCCATAATATTATAGTAATATAGTTAAATATCAAAACCTATCTAAATCCTATTTAAATCATCTAAAATCATCTAAATCTATCTAATTGCTTTTTAAAATCCAAATAACTTACGAATATAACTAAATCTTATCTAAATTCATAATTTCATCATAAAAATAGCCCCTCCCAAAAAGGACTCTTGCCCTCAAGGGTCTTGAACTTCAAATGGAGGAAATTGTTGCTGCAGCTTGAGTATTAAAGGACCCTTTCCTTCAAGGGTCTTGAGTATCTTCTCAGTAAACATAGTGCTAGGTAAAGCTGGCCATTCATTGGGAGGGTGTCTCTGCTTAACAGAGGGATCTGGGCACAACTTGAGGTGAGAAAAAATGGAAGGTTGAATGAATCTGCAACTGGACCTCCCCTTTCCAACATCTTGTAGGGTCCGTAGTACCTAGGAACAAGTTTTTGAGAACTAGTTGCTGCAGAAATCTGTCTATAGGGCTGAAGCTTCATAACCACCCATCATCCAATCTGAAATTCTCTGTCTAATCTTTTTGAATCTGCCTTTTACTTCATCATATTGTCAGCATGATGTAAATGACGTTTGAGGACACCGATCATCACTTCCCTTGCTGCAAAAGATCTATCAAGTGCATCCACCACTGAGTCTCTTGGAAGATAGGGAATATGTAAAGGTGGTTTCTGTCTATGAAAGAGTTCATGAGGAGTGACCTTAGTTGCAGCATGGAAGAAAATGGTGTTATACCGTCATTTGGCAAGAGGGAGCCACTTGTTCCACTCCTTCAGATCTTTCCCAACACATGCAGTGTAAATACGTCCCTAAACACCTGTCTAACAGCTCTGATAATTTTTCTTTTCAAAATACTTTTTTTTAAACGCTTACTTATAAACACCTCAGAAGATGAAGACAATTTTTGTTCTATTCCCAAGGTTTTTTAGGAACTCCTTCCGAAAATTGATCTCAAAAATGGGATCTCAGTAACTGATTATTTCCGCAGGAGCTCCATGTAATTTGTAAACCTGATCCATGAACTGTTGGGCAAGTGTTGCTGCTGCATATGGATGGGAGAGAGCCATGAACAAATATAACTAAATCTTATCTGAACTCATAATTTCATGACAGATCTAGAAAAATTAACTAGGGAGGGGGTAAAATGTATTCCTATATAATATTTTTTTAACATATATAAATGTTTATTATATCAATACAATAAATTTTGTTGAAATTAAACGCCAAAGAAGTGAATTACAAAAATAAAAAATTTATTATAACATACAAAAGAATATAATTGTTTTAAAACAAGTAAAACCTAAATTTTTGTTTGTGAAAGGATAAAAGCTTAAAAAAAAAAAAGACTCTAATCATATTTTAAAAAATTTAATATGTTCTAATTATATTCTATTTCTGTGTAAATTTGATATTCATAATTATTGTTAGAACAAATCATTTTTGTATGATAAAAAATGGCAGGGCCAAGTTAAATCTGATTGTCTGATCAATAACTAAGAAAAGCTTAATAATTAAAAAACGAATGGGAAATTTTCCGTTGGAAATGGACAAGGGTGTTGTGTTGGTGAGAGGAGAGGGGTATTGTCTATGTTGTCAGGAGGAGAGATGTTAGGATGACATGGAGGATGTAACATACTGAAAGGCAAAGTGTCGGGCTGCGGGTGTGAGGATGACCACTAACATAAGGGAGGAGGGGACTTTGTTGCTTGCACACACTTGTGAAAAACCCTGGGGGGGGGGGGACCAAATTTTTTGAAAGTGGTAAATTAAATTTTCTTTGAAAATTATGTTATTTATTTGCTATTTTCAGCCCCCAATTCCTAAAATGTACTTCAGCCCCTGGTTGGGTTGGTTTTAGTGTTGGTTTTTCAGTTTTGCTGTTCAGGAAGCTGCAATCCAATGTCTTGTTTTAGATGTTCCGTCCATGTCTGCGTTGGTTTTGATTGACCCATACTGCATTATGCTACTGCCTATAGGTTAAGGGGCTGACAGAACAATTTCCTGCTGTTACTCCTCTTGCTTTGGTGCTAAAACAGTTCTTAGCAGATCGAAGCCTTGATCAGTCCTATTCTGGCGGATTAAGTTCCTACTGTTTGGTATGCATGCGTAATATTTTTACATGAATTTTTTATTTTTGGATGTTTTCTCTGAGCCCACTTGGTTCAGAAGTAACTTGGACAGGATTTACATATTCTGAAAGTCTAATGAACATTGCAATTGTCAAATGTCATATATTGCTTTGTTGTGTTCAATTTTTGTTGGTTTATTCTTGAAAAGAGTAACTAGCAACCGGTGCTAATAATCCTAAACACACAAGATATTAATAAAGTATATAATACATTTATAATTTAAAAAGGGTATGAGATAGAACAATAGAGCAATAATAATTACTTGATATAGACTTGCAAATAATAAGAAAAGAGGGGGAGATAGATAAGAAGGGGGAGATATAGAAGAAATAAAGGGAGAGGCAGTGTTGTAAAAGGCGCTCGCTTCAGCGCCTAAGGCGCCTGGGCGAGGCGCTGAACTTGGCCATCGCCTCTCAAGTGAAGAGAGGCGATGGGGTTAGTTAGGCGCGCGCTTGAGAGCGCCTTGTGCGCCTTGCATGAGCAAAAGGCGCACGCCTGAGGGTGCCTAGTTTAAGTAGGTTGAAGAACAGGGGAACAAAAGATGGGCAGATGATAATCGACTACTGGGCATTGAAGGAGAGATGAAGACGACCGACTGGGACTGGGTATTGAAGAAGTGAAGAGGACGACTGATTGGGTTTGCCTATCGAAGAAAAGACAACGACCGATTGGAATTGACGAGGATGATGCTGACAGCGTATGGAAGAAGAGAAGATAAGGACAGCACCGACTACTTCAGTTGACTTCTATGGAGTAACATATTGTGGAAGACAATGAGTTTGCTCATATTTTAATACATAACCCATTAAAATATGATATAAAATATGAAAAGTTAAATGATATAAAAACAAATATGGAATATTTAATTTCAAAATAAGAGAAGACAATTACATAATAGAAAAGATTTAAATTTATTGCAAGAAATAATCTTTGATTGAAATTTTAAACATGATAGTGAAATTATTGTGAGCCTTGGAAAATTTTCAAGAAAATTTTAATCCCAACTTATACTGATTAGGTTATAAAAGAGAACCCATTATAATCCCTTGGAAGTTTAGAATAGAGCAGCAACACCAAGAGACTACAACACATGGTAGCACCTCGCTTCATTTGAGCACACGCCTTTCTAGCGCCTTGCGCCTAAGGTGTTTTACAAGCTTTGCGCCTTAAGTGCGCCTTTCGCCTTTAACAACCTTGGGGAGAGGAGGAATAAGGTGGAGGATGTAGAGAATCTGAAAATATCTTATATTTACACAGAAAATGAAGGACAATAAAGTCTATGATACTACCTGACCCACTCTCCCCAAAAACCTTCTAATTTATAACGAATAATAACAAACAAATATTTTATATGCAGTTTATTAATGGTCTACGCACTGGAGCCTACAGTTTTTGTATTGATTTTCCCCTTCCCTTCAGACAATGCATAATCCTCAACTTTTTATGTTATCTTTGTAATTAATATGTTTTCATTTAGTTCTTTGTATCTTTGCTATCAAGTTCTTCATCACAATTTAACATGTAATTTTTTTATAAGGGAAAATATAAGTCCTTATAGATTTTTTCAATTTTGAATTAGTTCTTGTAGTTTACTTTGCTTTAATTAAGCCCTTATAATTTAATCCGTTAGATATTTCATCCTTAAATTTTTCCATTTAAAAAAAAATTAAGACTCTCTCTATTTAAAAATATAAGACGTTTTTAATCAAATCTCATCCTTTAGTAAAGTAATTACTTGTTTACAAGTTAACTATATCTTTTCATATTCACCATTATTAAATAGGGTATTCACCCTTATTAAATAGGGTGTTTCACCCGAAAATAAATATAAATTAATTTATTCAATAGGGATACTTTTGAAAAAAAGACAATGATTGTACCTTGAAAGGTTAAAAATGCTTTATATTTTTGAACATCTAACCCTTCAAAAAATGCCTTACATTTTTGAATGGATGGAGTAACTTTTATATTTGTATTAAAAGATTATATAACTTTGGAATTAACTACATAATTTTTATAACTCAATTTATATAATTAGGTTGTCTTCTAAATAATGTTTTTACATACATGTTTTATATTAAAAAATTAATAAATTGTAAACATTGTATTAAATCAAATTTTATTTTATTTTATTTTATTTTTTTTTGTTTTGCTAGAACTATTGAATCAAATTTTCTAGAAACTCCACAAGTGTTTTTATTCTGGGAAAGTTAATAATTTATTAAGTTTAACATTTAGGGATTAACATATCTAATGGGTCAAACTATTGGGGCTTAATTAAAATAAAATAACTATAGTGACCTAATTCAAAATTGAGGGAAAAGATATGCAGATTAATTTTCCTTTTTTTTTTTTAAGTGACTCAATCATGTCATGCTAAGTTGTAGAAACCTTGTACTTGTCATGTTTTAATTGAGTAGCCTAATAGTAAGGATAAGCAACTGAATGCAAATTTTTGCCGTTGTTATATCCAAAATTTGATGCGCTCCTGTAAAATGTCTTCTTTTAGAATTCAAGGAAGCGGATTTCTCACCTTATGGATGTTTATGATATATAAATGTTATTGTTTGCGAATAATTGTGCATAAACTTGATTTCTATCATAGGTGTTATTAATTATACGTTTTCTTCAACATGAGCACCATCTGGGCCGGCAAATTGACCAGGTAAGATTCACTCCCTCCTTTGTTCTTGTTGTAACATAAACTCTTGACAATAAATGTGGAATTTATTTTGACCCTAACAAAATATTAATGCTTATCATAATATTTTTGGCGTGCTTAATTTAGGAGCTGGGACAATTGATTCGTTCTTTTTTTATGTGATAGAATGTAATTCATTCTTAATTAACATATGATGTGTTGGATTTCCTTTTATATGGTATTTTATGAGTGTTTTGTTCTGGGTTTTTTACCTTTAAGAAACTAATGCTTTGAAATTAATTTGCTTGGTTAAATGGAAAATTAGGTAGTATTTGAATCTGATTGGGATGGGAAGATGCATGCATGCGTTAACATATAAGAAATCAGAAAGTAAATTATTGCATGCATGTTAAGCAGGCACATGGAAGGTCTGTTCTGGCTTGAAAGTAACAAATGGAATGCACAATTTCATGTCTGGTACCTTTTACAAAGTTGGTTTCTTAAAGAATCTCAGCTGATAATAGGACTGAAAGTGTTTAAATGTCCAGGAAAAGTTCTTCGTGCTTAATATAATTTAATATGACAAGTGAAACAATGAAAGGACTATAATAGTTATTATACAGGCATTCATACTTTCTGAAGTTCCATTTGATTTTCATCATCACAATTTTGGAAAGACATGTATATCTTAGAGGTCTGATGCGCCTTGGGGGGTTTTGACCTCCCTTTGTGACCAAGGGGCAGTGAAATCTAAGCACAATTGAAGACTTTCTTTTAGATGCAGTTAAATTTGTTAATTCTTTCCTAATGAATGGTTTTGCTAGTAAAAACTGATTGCTGTGGTGGTTACTTGCATATATACTTATTTTGATTTTGTTATTATTTTTAACACCTACACGATCTAGCCACTTTGAATCTCAATATTTCAGTGTTAGTGAGTAACTGGGTATTGATTTCAATGCGTTGTTTAAACCAGAAATGGAGAGTACTAATTCGTGGATATCTAATATTTAGATCTAATGCGAGTGCTTTAGGCTCATGCAATAACCAACTGTAACTATCAAATACAACTTCTCATTGTCCTACAAGGGAAGGCAGCTTCTTGACAAGTCCATTTGGAACTTAATTCTCCATGGAAAATAAAATCCTTCGTCTGCAATACTTAAAAGTATTAACACAAATGACACATTGCAGATTTGATTAGCCAATGTAATTTTTTTCTTGACATCTGTGCAATGTGCTCATTAACTTCACCTATTTTATTTATCCACTTTCTAAACATGTGGAATTGTTTGGTTTATGATACTTTCTGGTTGGAGAGTAATTTTCACATCTTCAAGGGCATTTCTTTGCTTTTAAATATGTTATGGTATAGAATTTTGTATTTGGCTTCTCTTTGGTGCTCTACAGATTAGTGTAAATATGATGGAATTAGAAGCAAAGCCATATAAACCTTATTTACACTTATTCCAACCTTTTCGCTCTATCTTATTTTTACAGCACCATGTGAACTAATTTATTCACTGCAGTCTGCAAACGATTAGAACTCAGGATTTAGAGTGGTTTAAGGGATATTCAGATTTTTTTCCCCAGACAATTATTGTCCCATCTGCCTGCATAATTAAGAAGTCTCATGGGCAAAACTACCATATGTTGAGCCTGTCAACTGCTGATTCTAACATCTCTTTTGTCAGTTCCTCCTAGCTGCCAAAAACACTTATTTTAACAATATCTGACTCCTTCTTAATAAACCTATCATGATTACCTTGCAGAACTACGGAAGCCTTCTAATGGATTTTCTCTACTTTTTTGGGTTAGTGAACTTTCTTGTTGCAAATGGTAAACAGACTGGTACCATCATGATGTTTTTCAGCCAGCTTTTTTTTTGGCCCCTTCAGGAATGTATTTGATCCCCGTCAAATGAGAATTTCAGTCCAGGGAAGTGGTGTTTATATAAAAAGAGAAAGAGATTGCAGGTAAGAGTGAACTCAAGCCTTTTATTTTGTGTGTGACATGGTATTCTTGACACGGTATTAGTCCTCTCATATTGGTGGCCAACTACTTGACTTTGTAGCATCGATCCAATACACATAGATGATCCTCTTTTCCCAACGAATAATGTGGGAAGAAATTGTTTCCGCATACATCAATGCATCAAGGTAATGGTTTTATCATAATTATCGAACATGTATTTCTAGTTTAAAATTGGTCGTCTTTGATATGATGACTAGGATGACAAATTATCATTGAAGTTGCATGTGTTGATCTAAATCTCTCATCATATTTCCTTCAGAAAATGTGGATAAATGCTAAGTATTTTTTTACAGGGTGATGAAGCTTTTTCTGCTTGTTTAATTGCTGTATCTTTTGTTTTCTTTTTGAATAAAATATATGAACCACTCTTTTATTATGCCTTAGTTACACATACCTCCCCTCTACTTTGAAAACTCATATAAACCTCCTTTAAAATTGAAATATATGTTACATAAACCTCCTTTATATATTTGAAATTTCATTTCCATTCATCCAACCATTAGCTGATCGTTAAGTTTGACTTTTAAACTTTTAATTTGACCAAAATGTCTCATTTTAACATAAGAATTATTTAAAAATCTAGATTTGGAATTTTTTTTTTTCATTTTGTTTTGTATGCAAAAGAATATAATAAATACAGCAAGCCTTATCTCACTTGGGGTTGGCCACATAGATTGTATGATGCCATAGCGCTCTTTATCATTTACCGAATTTTTTGGAATGTTGTTAACTAAGAGGTTTTAGTTAACAACTTTCATAAGTTTTTTTTTTTTTTGTCCTTTCTTAATTATCTGCTCCACTCTCCTCATTGGTGCTTTTTGTGGTCTTGTTTGTACATGTCTAAATCACCTCAAATGATTTTCTATCATTCTTCAATGAATAGGTGCTGCACTCACTTTTTTTTTTTTTTGCATGTGTTCATTTTAGATTTTATCTTTACGTGTATATCCACACATTCATCTCAACATTTTCATCTTTGTTATTCCAACTTTTTACTCGCCCTATTAAAGCCCAACATTTACTATCATATAACATAACTAGTCTTATAGCTGTTTGATAAAACTCCCCTTTAAGTTTATTAGGTACATTACAATTGCAAATAACTCTTTTAGTCTTTCTCCAATTAAATCACTCAACTTGTATTTTATGTGCAATGCTCCCATCAATTTCCCTATTATGTTGAATAATAACTCAAATATTTAAATTTTTTTACTTGAGGTATAATTCGACCTTCCATTTTACCTCTAAATTATTACTCACTGACCTCTTATCATAATTACAATGCAAATATTCCATCTTACTTTTGCTTAGGCTTCTTTGACTCTGATGTCATTTTTCATATCTCAAGTTTATAGCTAATATCTTCTCTCGTTTCTACAATAAGGACTATATCATTAGCGAAAAATATGTATTTGTTAAAATTTTTTGTTATATTATAAAATTTTATAATTTTATTTTTTATCAAATTTATTGAATCTTATTTATGTTTTTTAAATTGTAAAAACATACTTCAAACCCCTTTTTGTTTGTCATGTAACATAAAATGAAGTTGGAGAGACTATATAAATAATTTAATTTTAAAATTTAAAATTTGTAAACATGTTCTTTACAATGAAATTATGTGACTGTCAAAATAATATAATTTAGGATTCGTTAGGGTGAGGAATAAATTTGTAAATAAAATGTTTTATTATAAATTTTTATTTAAAGTTAAGTTTAGAATATTTTTAGAATATTCCTAATGGAGTTGATGGATTGGACTAAATTATATGTTTTCAAAATAGAGGGGAGGTTTGTGTAATTAGGGTTAGAGTACAAATTGGCTCTTGAAGTTTTTTCAGAAGTGCACTTGGTATCTTAAAGTATTTAATGACGTAATATTGCCCTGACATTTTTAAGAATGGTACAAATCTACCTTGCCTTAACAGACCTTAATGTTTGATTGTCAATTGACCCATTCTGCTTACATGGCATGCTTACTTGGCTTCCACCTCTCTCATCTTCCTTATTCATCTTTGTCCTGCCTTCTCTCTCTTTTAAAATTAAACACAAGTGGATCCCACCTTCATCATCATCCCCATCTCATGGTCTTCTTGGTCCCCTCATTCACAATCTCGCTGATGATCATCTCTGCCAACGATAATGACAATTCATGAGAGCAAAGCAAACTTTAAGAAAAAAAATTCCAGTTTTCTCAGTAGCCAAACAGCATAAGACGTACCACTCACATATAACAAAGCAATAATCTAGGGCATGTCTTCGACAAGAACCCAAAGTGAGAAACTAAAATATCACAAAATCTTGCGCATATCTTTGATAAGAAATATAAAGCAATAATTGAAATATTCAACAACCCAAATCCACAATCGATAATTGGCAACCCAAAAATTCAAATTGACAATCATCAATCTCTTTCTCTAAGCAATAAGCAAAATCTTCATCGAGAAGAAGATTCCAAAAACAACAAAATTTCCTAGTTAAATCAGATTAAGCTAATCATAAATTCATCTTCAACCCAAAAGTAAGAGGAATCGGCCTTAAAGAACATCAAGCACAAAACGATTATGGAAAAAAAAAAAAAAGGTGAAGCATGTGACTCAACCTAGATTGACAATCTTGTGCACACCAGTAACTCCACGCTCAGCCTCTTCCCAAAATGATAAATCTAAAACTCGAGCATGGTGGAGAAACCTAGAGCAAAATACAGAATGATTTCGAGTTAGACAAAGGCACTTGGAGTTTTCAGAGATTCCAAGAAATCCAGACAGACACCCAGTCGACTTAGGAAAATCATCCCCCCGATGGCTGTGTTCGAGTGCCTTACCCACATCTTCTCAACTATTGAGTCCTCTCTCTCCTCCACTCTTTTCTCCATCTTCATCCTTTAAGTTTCCCCTAACCCCTTCCTCTTTTCTCCATCTTCATCCTTTAAGTTTCCCCTAACCCCTTCCGATTGAGGATCTGAAACTTGAGCTTGCAAGGTTAGATCGAGAACTTCTTGAAACTGATGTGGGTTTTCTTCGGGCTATTTGGGTGAGAAGTCTTTGAAGCAACAGCAACAAGGACAACTTTGTGAAGGCCTTTAAAGAGTGACTGGGCATCAAGTAGAGATTTGGAACAGATTTCCATGGATTTGGAATTGTGGTGCTTAGGGAGAGAGAAAGGAAGAGGGAGTTATGATAGAAGAGAGAGTGAGGAAGGGGTGACAGTTTGGATGAAAGTGAGAGAAGTAAAGGAGAGAAGAGGAAGACGTGGATGTTCACTTGGCTGCCAGATTGAAGTTTAGCATTAAAAATAATTCATTTAACGGTTGACATAACACTTAACAGCAGGATAAATTTGTGCCCTTTTTAAAAATGTTAGGGCAAAATTGCTCTACTAAATACTTTAGGATACCAAGAGTGCCTTTGAAAAAACTTCAGGGGCAGATTTGCACTTTAACCCATGTAATTAAGGCAAAAGAGAAGGGTGATCAGAATATTTTACTCTATTTCTTTTATGGTTGTTTGTAAGTATTGAGCTAATAATTTAGCCTTTTCCTAGTTATGTTTTTTATGCAAAACTTTTGGTGCAGGCATTTTCAGAAGCTTATTCAATTCTTGAAAATCAACTCTCATTCCTAAATTTTGGTGGAAATGTTGATGAAGAATCGTGTTCTATGCTACCTCACCTGCTGCTTCCAAAAATCATCCCAAGCCTTGATTTATCATAGAGATTCTCATTACTGAAGAGTTTGTTTGGAAGGTACACCTCTGTTCACCAGTGACGATATTTAATACTAATTTTATGCATTGGTCTTGCAATTTCTATGCACCTGAAGTATTTGCAAAAGAAAAAATAAAGGTTAAATTAGTACCCATAAGTTTATTTATTGTTTGAATTTGGTCCGGTTGAGCTTGCTTTGTTCCAGATTGGCTGCTCTTGTTCAAATTAGATAAATCCTAAACTAGCAGTTAGTTCTGTGTGCCAGATTACACATTGTATGCCATATTAACATTTGTTGTACTTTTTTTTTTTTAATTTCTTTCGTCCTGCTAGTCAAACCAACCTGATGTGGTTTCCTTTTATGTTAGGTTTGTGAAAAGTTATTACCTTCCTTACAAGAATCAAGCCTATATGGTGGAAGTAAACTATGCAGGTGAAATCAATTTAGGATTTGTAGATGTTTAAATAATAGTTCAATTCTGCTGTTTGTTTATGGATAACTTTGTCATGGGTGTTTATCTTATTTATTATGTCATGGTTATATAGGTTGTAAATCTGTAGAGGTTGTAGGGGTTATGATTCAAAGGAAAATCAATATCCTTTGCTTGCAAGAAACAAAATGGCGTGGAGAAGAAGCTAAGGATATTCAAGGTTTCAAACTTTGGTATACAGGAAAAGTAAGTGCACGCAATGGAGTAGGCATCATTATAGATAAGGAGTGGAAGAAGAACGTTGTAGAAGTTAGCAGAATTGGAGACAGAATTATTTCTTTAAAAATGATAATTGGACGTGAGACTGTTAATATTGTTAGCGCTTATGCGCCGCAAGTCGGGACAGAAGCCAGTCTTAAGGAATTATTTTGGGAGGATCTGGAGGGGTTGATTCGACACATACCACAGAGTGAAAAGATTTTTATTGGAGGAGACTTTAATGGGCATGTCGGGAGGGAAGCTGGTCAGTATGCGAGGGTGCATGGTGGTTTTGGTTTTGGAGAGCTAAACAATGAAGGGCAAACTCTTCTTGATTTCTCATTGGCGTATGATTTTAAGATTGCCAACACTTGTTTCAAGAAGAGAGATGAGCATCTCATCACCTACAAAAGTGGAGCCTCAAGGTCGCAGATTGATTTTCTTTTGGTTAGGAACACAGATAGAAAACTTTGTAAAAATTGTAAGGTGATCCCTGGAGATGCTGTAACGACACAACATAGGGTCCTAGTCCTTGATGTGTGTATTATGAGTAAAATCCAAAAACGTCGACAAGTAGTAACACCAAGGATTAGGTGGTGGCAATTAAAAGGTGAGAAGCAAGATATTTTCAAGCGAAATCTTTTGGATAAAGGAATTTGGGATTCTCAGGGAAGTGCTAACATCATATGGGAGGATATGGCTAAAAAGATACGGGAGGTTGCAAAAGTAGTTTTGGGAGAATCGAAAGGTCCTGGTCCGAGAGATAAGGAGTCTTGGTGGTGGAATAATAGTGTACAGGACAAAATCAAGTATAAGAAGAACTGTTTTAAAGCCATACATTTGTGTAACAATGAGGAAAATTGGGAGAGGTACCGTATGGCTAAGAAGGAAACTAAGAGAGCTGTGGGTGAAGCTCGTTCTAAAGCTTTTGAAGAATTTTATAAGAACCTTGAGACGAAGGAAGGAGAGCAAAATATTTATAAGATTGCCAAGAGTAGGGAAAGAAAATCAAGAGATCTAGAACAGGTAAGGTGTATTAAGGATGAAGAGGGAAGAATTTTAGTTACAGATGATGAAATTAAAAATAGATGGGAGACTTATTTTTCTAAACTTTTCAATGATGGAGAGGATTCATCTAGTAACTTGGAGGATTTAGTAACTGGTGAAGGAGAACAAAATTTGTCATTCTATCGAAAAATACGTGATAAGGAGGTAAAGGAAGCTCTTAAGAAAATGGCAAATGGTAGAGCTAACGGACCTGATTGTATATCTATCGAAGCGTGGAAATGTTTAGGTGAAGAAGGGGTGAGATGGTTAACTAAGTTATTTAATGTGATTTTACGGTCCAAGAAAATGCCTGATGAGTGGAGGAGAAGTACATTAATTCCTATTTATAAAAATAAAGGAGATATTCAGAATTGTACTAACTATAGAGGGATTAAACTCATGAGCCACACAATGAAATTGTGGGAGAAAGTAATTGAGCACAGGTTGAGATTGGAGACAAGTATTTCTGAGAATCAATTTGGTTTTATGCCAGGTAGATCAACTACAGAGGCGATTTATCTACTAAGGGGATTAATGGAAAAGTATCGTTGTAAAGATAAAGATCTACACATGGTTTTTATTGATTTGGAAAAAGCTTATGACCGTATACCAAGAGACGTGCTTTGGAAAGCGTTGGAAAAAAAGGGAGTACGGATTGCTTATATTAAAGCCATACAAGATATGTATGAGGGGGTAAAAACTAGTATAAGAACGCCTAGTGGTCAAACAAAGGATTTTCCTATAAAGATTGGGCTACATCAGGGATCATCTCTGAGTCCTTATTTGTTCAACTTGATTTTAAATGTTTTGACGGAACATATTCAAGAGGAAATCCCGAAATGTATGCTCTTCGCGGATGATATAGTTCTTATAGCAGAGACAAGAGAAGAGGTTAATTGCAAACTTGAGTTATGGAGGAGGACATTGGAGTCGAAAGGTTTTCGTCTGAGTAGAAGTAAGACGGAATATTTATATTGTAAATTTGATAAAGGACTATTCGAAAATAATTTGGAAGTGAAATTGGGAGATCAAATTATACCTCAAGTGGAAAAGTTTAGATATTTGGGAGCCATTATCCAAAATGATGGCGAAATCAGTGGAGATATTTCACATAGAATTCAAGCTGGGTGGTTTAATTGGAGAAAAGCTAAAGGAGTTATTTGTGACCGTAAGGTGCCTAATAAACTTAAAGGAAAGTTTTATCGTACTGCTATCAGACCGGCAATGTTATATAGTAGTGAATGCTGGGCTCTAACGGGACAGCAAGAGCATAAAGTTGGAGTAGCAGAGATGAGAATGTTACGATGGATGTGCGGACATACACGTAAAGATAAAATTCGAAATGAGCACATACGTGAAAAAGTGAGGGTGGCACCTATTGAGGAAAAAATGGTAGAAAATCGGTTGAGATGGTTTGGGCATGTACAAAGAAGACCAAGGGAGGCACCAGTGAGAAGAGTGGAACATATAACTTTGAGTCCGATTAAGAGAGGTAGAGGAAGGCCTAAGAGAACACTCTTGGAAGTTGTTGAACGTGATCTCTTAATTAATAATATTTCTAAAAGCTTAATAAATGATAGAGCACAATGGCGTCTTGCAATCCATGTAGCCGACCCCACCTAGTGGGATAAAGGCTTGTTGTTGTATTTGTCATCATGTTACCTTGTTTTTGGTTTATATACTCGGCAGTGATTCTGTCAGTTAGTGGCAAACGGAACACAGAAGATACCAAACCAAATCAAAATGAAACTGAGTAAAACCGATCTCCAGTAAGGTTTGATTTGGTTTTCAATTCAACCAAACCCAAGTTGGGTTGGTTCAGGTTTTGAGGTCTTGAAACTTGAACCAAACTGATCTAAACTTGATCTACGTTTTTCTGTAATTTTATAATAAAATCAACTCAATATACTGCATTTTAATTTATAAACATATAAAAAAACATATTGTAAACCGATGATATATTAAAATTTTAAGTTATTTATATTAAAAAATTTCCTATAAAAATAATTGAAAAATGAATATGTGATTGAAAAAACATGAATTATAAGTGATCATATATTGATTTTTGAAATTATAAAAAATATTAAAAGCTGAAGAAAATTTATCGAGAATGATAATAAAGAGATAACAAAATAAAAATGTGATTATATATACTTTAAAAAAAATGAATACTAAGTTTTTTAAAAAGTGAAGATTAAATGAATGAGAAAAAAAGTATTAACAATGAAAATGAAATCATTCTAAGAATGAACCATACTAATTTATGCCAAACTTAACATACAAAAAACTGAACCAAATCGATGTCTAATAAGGTTTGGTTTGGTTCTTAATTTAGTCAAATCTCAAATCGATTTGGTTTGGTTTGGTTTGGTTGACTTTGTGCCCAAAACTGAATCAAACTATACCTTTGAATATTGTATAGTTCTCCATTTGTTCTACTACGATGGTAGTTCATATATGATCCATTCCTTTTAAGTTTTAAAAATCTAGGATTAGGAATATGTGGTGTTATGTATTTATTTTAATCTAGGGATTTGAAATTTAATATTTACTATGAATTCTCCATGTTTTTAATATTAATCATAACTTTTTCACCTTATTTGCATATCTAAAATCATAACTTTGTCTGATCAATATCCAATTTTCAGTGCCAGATTTCTTGCTGCTTCTAAGCTATACACACGCCAATATTGGTTTTAAGCAAGTGCAGAAACACAGCGTGGCCACAGGCATCAATTGAATGATTCTATTTCAAATGATTGGTGAGATCAATCTGCAATTTTCAGGTCAGTCAGGAAAATCTCTGCTTGACCTGTTTAGGGAGAAACGCGTTGAAAATTTATGCTTGTTTTATCTCTCATCCTTAATAACTATCTGAATTCAAATATGCTTCAAAATGACTAAATTATATTTAACTTAATCCCTGCTGCCAGGGAGAGAAAGGTCTTTCAATGGCAGTTTTTTGGAGTGTTAATAGCAAAGTGTTATGATCAATCTCTTTTTCTCCTTGTGCTTGTGTTTTCACTTTCAAGTATTATTCAAGACATTCACCGAGAAACATATCCTGTATCGCATTAATTTGGCTCTTAATCTTGATATGATCCTCTGTTACTTATTTCTGTTACAAAACAATTTGATTACTTAATTGGTTGAGTTAGAACTCAAATCCTTCAGCTTTTAGAGACAAGATCAATTCCACTAAGCCAGAGCTCATTGGTTGAACTCTACATTTTTTTTCTGGGAAAACGTAGTTTTTTATAGTTCTAAAAAAATGTCTGGTTTATTATCGTGAACATTGTTGCCACTTATTTATTTACTTAAAGACTATGATGGATCTTCATTTTGCTCCTAATGTTATTTTGAAAAAATAGCAGGGCCTGTGTATGAGTTATTATTCAAGTTCACGAGTGAACAAATCTCTGGCTGGTCCAAGAAATTGGAGTTTCGGGTGCATCGTTCTTTGTTCAGAACCTGTTTGAGGTAACTGACCATCCCATATTATTTTCTTCTTTTCAATGTGTTTTCCTCACTCCACACTTTCTGGCTTTCATCATTTCAGGTCCAAGAATAATGCTGAATCTCACTGCATAAATGTGGTCTTTATCTAATGCGCTTGTTTGGGATTAGACAAGTAAACTTTTGAGCATGAGGCAAGTTATAAAAATCCATGTAAAAAAGCTCGATCTGCTTGGCTGCTGGAATGTTGAATTTTGGAAGGATGAGAGAGGAATGATCAAACTATGGCATTCCTTTGGCAAATGAAGATCAGAGATTGAGATATTATGTAGAAATTGCAAGGGATCATAGGATAAATCTGGAAAGTGGATGGAATTTTGGGTTACAACAATGATTTCTGAATGTGTAGAATAGAAGGAAAAATTAGCTTGCTTAGATCATGTGAAGAATGTCATGTACGATGTATAGCCCTTAAAATGATATCTGGTTACTAATAGGGGTTGGGTTTAGTGGAAGGGGATAGGTCCTCTCAACATGCCAAACCAAAGTTTAAATATCTGCTAAGGGAGGGGCTTAACCGTGCCTTAAACAGATCATTTTCAGTAGGAGGCTGCATGTATACAACTGAAGAAATAATACATGGTTACTAGATGTATGATGGGAAAATTTTAGGGAGAATTACTTGGGGGTTGCAGAGATTTGAGGGAGATCCAGTTGCCCACAATTAGAGATCTCAGATTCATGCTTGCTTTCAATTCCCGAGATGGGATGATCTTTCCCATAGGTCACTCAGCCACCTCATGTCACTTCACGATGAAAAAAGCAGGCTCAATGCTTGCCAAAAACATTACAACAAAGTTAACAAACAACATATTAAGTTAAGAGAGAGAGAGAAATAAAAACGAAGGATTTCTTAGTTGTTTCCCCTTTGTCTATCTTAGATGAAAGAGGCTGCCTTGATAACTAGCAGTTCATGCTCTCGGATGAGGCCCCTCTTGTGTTCTTGCAGGGCGCGAATGTGTGATCCTATAAGAATTGCATCGTTCTTTGTACGTCCTTAGGATCGAGAGCAGGTGGATGCACAAAGAATAGACCAAGCATTTGCTCACATTTGAGCTTTTAGTTTTCTGCTTTGTCAATTTCGTTCTGAATTGTTTCCAGTCTTCCGGCAATGATATCCACTAAGTGTTGCTGAAAGTGTTTCTTTTGACTTCTGCCTCTTTGCCAAGTGGAGAAAGCTGTCATATTTAGTTTTCTTTGTTTAGTTGTTAATTCTTGGTTGATTCAGTTTGTTTTTTTGGGATTAATCATCAACTACAAATTCACAAAGTACAATATAGTCACAGGAAAATAAAAATTAGTACAATCGAAAGTGTGGAAAGTAGATTTCCACCATCCTTTCCAATGCTCTTGTAGAATTTCCAACCAAGAAAACTTGAAAGGATTTAGTAGGAGGATTTTTCTGGTAGGTTCTGGCAAAGTGTATCTGTCCTTTGGTCTGCCTAGCTGCATTCTTTCTTTCAACAATGAACATAGAATCACGGAAAATAAGGATTTTGCTCTCTCTTGACTTGTATCTGCCTCTCTAATGTCGAGAAAAAGGAACCAACCTTTTCGAGCTCTTGCTGTCTATTCTCTTAACATGTTCAATGTCGACAAAAAGGAGCCAACCTTTTCGAGCTCCTGCTGCCTAAGAAGAGATCTTTGCTGTCGTTTGGGTGGGTTGTTTGAATCGCCAAGCTTTTCTTTGCCGCTTCTGCTTTTCTGCGTCCGCTATTGAAAAATTGATATTAGCTAAGGCCCTATTAATCATCTCTATGATGTGTTGTATATAACTTGCGCATTGAAATTCCCCCCCCCCCCATTTTTGCATTCCCAAAGAGATTGAACTATGAACAAGATTTCCTTTAACTGATTTAACCAATCCATATCAGTTGCAGCTTTGTTGATCCACTCAATAATGATAGATCTAATGTTGGGTAATTACTCAGACAAGCAGTTTAGTTCGTTTAATGCTTAAGATATATTTTAAGCCTTGAGCGTCTTCTGTCGCTGGTTTTACTCTTTTCGTTCACTGTGTAGAGTACTTTTTGGTGGATGCAATTTATACTAATTTACAATAATTGTAGTATATGTATGTATGTATGTATTATAATTGGGTCCTCGCATAACATTTCAATTTAGTTGTTATGATTGACTTTTCGTACGTATCATTGATGATGTTCATTGAGAGTGCCATTTAATTTTTAATTTTTGGTCTGTTTTAATTCTTGTTCTTGTGTTTCTCAATTAACAAATTTATTTTCTTGTCGCTTGAAGTACATGTTTGATGATAAAAATGTTTGAATATCAATTTTATTCTCTTTTTGCTAACAATGTCAAAACTATTATGAATATTAAAAGTGTGGATATCCATCTCTAGCATTTTTTCATCTTTCTATGGAACTCTTGTAACCATGAAATTATCCTTTATTTGCCATAATTTAATTCTTAATAAGCTCATGCCTATAAATAGGGCAAGCTATTTGTATTGCAAGGACAATAATTTATAAAATAATCTCTCATTCTCCTATCTCCATTTCTTCTCCATATATCTTATTTTCTAGATGGGTTAATTTCATAACATGTTATTAGCAAAAGTCTCTAACAAATGAGCATAAGGTGTTATCTTATGAATTTCTTGTTGATCATTGTTCATTATATAGAGAGAGTTTGATCCAAAAATGGTGTGGTGGTGGAGTTTTTCAATTTGTCTATAGGAATTAATGACTTTGCAATTCCAAAGATGTGTTTATTGACTCATGGTGTAAGAATTTTATTTTCTATATTCTTATTGATTTGAGATCCATTTTGATGTATGACATGACTATAATTGTCAATTTGATATTAATTATTTGTTCTTGGAAAACAAAATTGGATGATTGTTATATGCTCTTGGTTATGTGGTTAGATGGTCAGAAGCCACATCAATTTTGATAGTTATTTTCTTGTAAAAGATCATTTTATAAAAAATGGCATGAAGAAAAAATTATGGTATTTTGATGATCTGATGGTTAAAACATAATAGCTTTGAAGGTCAATTATTCAGCATCAAATGATATTGAAGAGTTGTGTAAATGATATTTGAAAATTAGTCTTGAGACTAATTTTCAATGAAATTGATTGTGTTCTAATTGAAACCATGGACAAATCTTTGAGATAATGATTCTGTGTTATCATAATAAATATCAATAAGTTAATAAATCCTGGTTATTAAAAAGATATTGTCTTGCCATAATTGTTGAAATAATATTATTTTTATGGGCATTGAAATAAAATTATGAGGTATTATTATGGCTAGAAGCCATTTAGACAATGAGCAATTCATTGAAAGTCAATGTCGAAATTAGTTATGAAACTAAAAGGCCTGTGATATATTAAGGAATGTAGAAGGTAACTATAAAATCATCAAATCCACAAGTTGTAAAAAAATGCTCAAAAAAGCTCTTGTAGAGAAAAGAAAATATAATTACAAGCCTTGAAGGTTGTATGATATTCCAACTTGTTATGTGGTGTTCAAGTCTAGAAGACTATATCTAAAATCTTATATGGTGTTCGATTGTTATTAGTGTTTAAATTTCCTGTCATTAATTTGGTGATTAATTATTATAAATATTTGATATTGATTCAATCTTGATATAATTTAATTTTATGCTATGTTTGGATGCATAAGGATTTGGATTTAAGCAAAATTCTATTTTTATAATTAAAAATGTATGGTTTTGGATTTGATCTAAATCTAAATTCAAGTTTTACTTCAATCTCTTTGTAATTTGAAATCCTTTCTAAACCCTATTATTTCAAATCTTATATCAATCTTTTTGTAATTTGATTGGCCTATTAGCAACATGGAATAGGACCAGATTGCCAATAAAGACCAGGACAGGATCGCTGCCATCGTTGATTGAGATTGAGTTACAGTCGCCAACCTGGATCGGATGGTTAAGACCAATTGAGATCAGACAGCTTTCATTAAGAACTGAACCAACGACGCCAATAGGGATTGGACTGTTAGTGTCGATAAGGGTCGAACCACTAGCGTTGATTGGGACAAGATCAGAGTGCATGTGATGACCGACTTCCACTTGGACTTGATTTCCAACGTCGACAGGACTAAAGTGTAGATGATGACCAGGATTGGATGGCTAGCTTCCATTAGGATCGGATTGCCAGTGTTGATCGGGTCTAGAGTGCAATCGACGATCAGGATTGAGCGACAGATTTCCACTATGATTGAAGTGCATGCAATGACCGGGACAGGATGGCAGACATCTATTAGGGTTGGATCGCTAGTGCCAATTGGGATTGAAGTACAGGTGACGATTGGGATCGAATGGAAAACTTCCATCAGGATTGGACAGCCGGCACCGATTGGAACCTGAGTATAGGTGACAACTGAGACCAAACAATAGACTTCGAAGTCAAGAAAGTTAAATTAATTTATTTTAAAATTTTGAGTTTGAATTTGTATATATGTAAATCACATTAAATAAATATATTAAAAATATTTTTGAAGTATTCATGAAGTTGCTATTGGTAATAACAATCTTATATGGAAAGGGTTCAAATTAGTCTAAACAAAAGATAGTAATATTCTTAGGTTTTTCAGAATGTTTATAAAACTTCTTGATCAACATACTAATTCTGACAATTGCGATAAGATATTGAATTTTTAAATATAATTTTTATATTGTAATCAATTATTATGGACTAATATACATAACCTAATCATTATTTAGTTAGGACCTAATTGTCATTTTCTTAAATAAATTTGGCAATATTTCTAAAAGTGAAAACCTACAATTAATACACTTGTTTTTGTTAAGTGTATGTATGTATGCATAGTTGGCATCGGTGATCCTCTCCCTGTTGGCACCAGTGTCTAGGCCCCAGTCGGTGTTGAAGGTTCAGTCTCAGTAAAAGTTAGCCATTTGATTCCATTCGTCACTTGTGGTATGGTCCTAGTGAAAAGTCTGTCATCTAATCTCGGTAGTCGCTAGCTATTTGGTCTAGGTGGAAGTCAATTGTTTAGACCACAGACTTTCACTAGGATCAGACCATCAGCATTGTTTGGGTTTCTTTGAAATTCAAACCTAGAATTTAAAATTTGAAATTTTGCTTGATATCCAAACGAAGGATTTTAATATTATAATTTAAAATTTTTTATATCATCCAAATAAAGAATTTAGAATCTATAAATTTTAAATGTAAGATTTCAAATATAGATTTTAAATTTAAATTCCCAACTCAAATTCACCTATCCAAATGCAACCTTAAAGAAAATATCAAGATTTATAGCAATAACTATAAAATTATATTTATATTTTTGGTTTATTATATGAAGGATTAGATATGAAAAAATTTATAAATTAGTCTATATTTAAGTATGTTAGTTCTCGACGAACTATAAAATTGATTAGTTCTTGCAAAACCAAGATGGATGTCCCTCATTCTATGGTTGAGATAATGAAAGATATGACTATAGATTTATATCTGAGATTGGTTTGATAACGATTGGAACCCAATAGCTCAATCAAATTGAAACCCATCATTTTTTGTGAGTTGGGAAGTTCTTGGATTGTTGGATAAGGTTGGGCGCCGAAGAGGGGATGAATTGGGTGGCAATTATTTTTTTTGGATTTAAAGAAGAGTAGAGTAAATAACAGATATTCAAGGAAGAAAAGCTCTTACACCAATGATTTATGTTCAACCCAATAATTTGGCCTACATCTAGTCCTCAAAATCACCCTTGAAATTTTAACTATAATCACAAGGTTTAGTGGGTGCTTGTAACCTTAATACAACTCTTAAGACTTGACTAGTCTTATTTCAGCAACAATCCTCTCTACAACTAGCAAGTTGTTATAACTCATTTGAAAAATCTCTTTTTAAGATTTTAACTTAGTTATAAGAAGAAATCTCTTAAAGAATACTCTTTGTAAAGAATAGATGAATACAATGAAGGCTTAAGAACTAGTGAGAGCTTTTTCACAATATGTCAAGAGTGTTTTATGAATGAATGCAAGACTTTTGATGCACAATTGAATATTTTCAAGAATGTTCAGACTTAGAATAGCTCACTCAATAATAAAAAGTCACGCTCGAGACTTGAATTGAGTCATATATATAGTTTTATAGCAATTTAGATCGTTGGAGTA